AAAAGATTAAAAAAAGATTTTATTTTAATAAAAAAATAAATTTAAATTTAAATTTAAAATATAATACTTTAAAATATAATAAAACTTTAAAATATATTATAATATATATAACTGTATAATTATAAAAAAATAGTAAATTATTTACTTAAAGATATATTTAAACATTTTGAATATATAATGATTAAATAAAAAAATTTTTCGCTATGGCAGATATATAGTTTAGATAATAATTGCCTAATTTCTATAAAAAAAAAAAAATTAAGTTTATTCACTACAAAGTTCACATGTTTACATACTGTATATGCGTAAACACAAGTTGAAAAATAATATTTAATATGAAATTCGAAGATTTACGTACGAATTTCAGCACCCACAGACATTTAATCACAAAATAGTGTTTATACACATGTTTTGTATTACTGATGTAATTAAATGAGAGATGTAGGAAGTGTGCTTAAGTTTCGATACCATATGATGGATAACAATAGTTTCGATTGTCTGGTCATGTCATATCGAGTTTACATCAACCTTGCGCTTATCACGATGCATTGTGCCTACTATGCTGTTTACTTGCATCATTACTGACAAGCTCTATAATTAATCCTTGATTAACTGAAATCTAGTAACTTAACAAGGCATTTCTCCGCGAGTGGCTGAAAAAAAATTTTCCATGAACAAACATTGATTGATTGATATCGGGCACTTCTTTAACATGCAATTAAACTTTCGATATAACCAATCTGATATCAAACATTTTCCAAATTACCGAAGAACAGATAATGATTGGTAAAGAAAAAAAAAAACGCGAATACACGTAATTATAGAATTAGGAAAGCAAATTGGCGTATTTTAAATAGCAACTGCATGTAAGTGTAATGTAAATGTACTTTTAACTATGAACTATAGAAATTGTCGAACTTTAAAACAATGGGTATTTGACAATTATGTGAATGGAAATTGATTTTACAAAATACCGGAAAGGAACCAGCTCATCTTCATGAGCACATATAGTATATAATATAATTTATACTAAGTATCAAAATTATAATTTATAATAGTGAATTAGGATAATCAAAAGAAATTTACCAAAGCAGGAATTTCAAAAAGCCGAAATTTATTGCATATGACATGGAATGTCAAACGGTAAACTGTGGGGGGATTTAAGAAATGAGTAAAAAAAATTTTATGCGTAATCTTGCGGAGTAAGAGAGGCATAATAATTCAGATTGGTTAAAAAGATTTATGGAATTGATTTTCAGCTTAAATGAGAGTGGGTTAATGTATGCGTTTCTCGAATAGTCCTTATATAAAAATCTTAATTGGTCAATCAAATGTAGTACATAATTTTTCCAACCGATTGATCATCAGGAAATCACGGAAATCATGAAAATAAGAAAATCGTTGGAAATCATTTTTTTTTTTTTTTTTTAATGACTAAAGCAGGCCAAAAGAGACTAAGTAAACAATCATTATTAATGTTGAAACACAAACAGAGGAAAATCTACCATATGGCAGTCCATTGTTTAATAAAACAAATGCGATACACTCACTATTAACATTTTGATTTGTTTCGCGATGTAACATAGTCGGTAATATTAATTGATTATTGACTAGATTTAGCAGGCGGGATGTTATATCTTAACAATATTAATGATGAAATTATGACAGACAGGTGGCTGTAAATATTGCAGCATCAACTTGGATTATTCGCATTAACGTTTAATATTATATTATGCCTTTATGTGTGCACGAACTCATTGGTTGATCACTTTACGAATTATGGCATGCAGATTTAAAAGTGGCTAATGCGGAGGGAAGCCAATCAATTTATTTACATTAATAATTTGTTCAAGTGCGATTGGAAAGGTTTTACGTAATTTTATGACGAAATTTAAAAATGAGTATTCTTGTTTGAAGAAACAATATGAATGTCGAAATAATATTGTTCACTAAATTCGGTATGGTGGCGAGTTTTTTTTTTTTTTTTCTTTTGCATAAAACGTTTATATCAATATGTTCAATATGCGTTTACTCGTGTAATTTCTATATTGGTATCTAATGTTTATTTATATCCTACTTTAGCCATGACATAACTTCTAATTACTGAATTAATCATATTTTAGTTATCTCGTTTACTTAGCATATCCGATATCTGATATATCAGACATTCGATATATAATTTATATATATGTATGTATATATACGATACTTTGTGTTTTTGAATATTAGTATTAATCATTATTATTATTATTATAATAGAAAATCGGTGGCTATTATAACACACAGTCTTTTCTAATATTCTTTTAACTAGATTCGTTTATGGTTTCTATTGTTTAGATATATGATAACACAGCTAGGCAGTTATCTGCATTTGGTTTGTTCGTCAAAACAATAGTGTTACATTAGACTACATGCCACTTGTATTACAACTTGTCATAAAGCTGGTAGAATTAACAATGTAGCTATAGTACTATGAAACTTGCTGCGAAATTTCTTTAATGCATGTTAATTAATATCTAGAAAAATAAATATAATTCTAGCTGTCTTAATATAGTCCTACAGTTAATTTCTTCTTTCCCTTCGTGAGGCATATTCTTCAGTATATGCAATTATTATTATATTTATTATAACATTATACTCCTTCGAATTTTTGTATTATCGAATTTTAAAACAATTAAAACAATGATTTCTTTAAAAATGTCATATATCTTCCGCATACATACGCACATAATGCCACATTATTGCAGTTTTTTTTTTCGTTGCTTAATGCAATTCAAATTACGAGATATCAACAAGCGCATTTCGGAACTAGACATACAGGTTTTTTTGCCTAAATTGCTGTAATTTTCTTATTACATTACAGTATAATCTTTTTTTTTTTTTTTTTTTTTCCAAACATTTATTTACGATCCTTACATTATCAGAGTTTATTTTTGTTATGGTTCATTGTTGTTTAATCTAAAATTCACCTTCCTTTTTTGAATTTTTGAAGGGTATTCTAAAATTAATTGAAAAAAGGTTACAAGGTTATTATTTTTTTTTTCCCAAACTAAAAAGAGAAAGAAAGAATCACACCATTGAAAATAGAAAAAAATAACAATGGTTCCGCCAAATATTAAAAAGCCACGAAAAAAATTTTTTTCAAAAAAAAATAAATATAATATACTGCCACTAAAATAAAAACTTAATATCCTCAGCGAGGATAAAATGATCTGTTCTCCCAGTTTTTGAAAAAAAAATTTTCTCTACAATACGATTTAATTAAATAAAAATCTTGTTTACACGAGAATTCTCATACATACCCTCCCCTCCCCCTTCCCTTACGAACCCATTAACTTCCTTCCTCTTTTTCGCCTCCCTTTATTACATTTATATTTTTCTTTTAATTCTCCAATGGGTTCAAAAAAATCTCTCCGGTATGAAGTTCTCGTGTATCCACCTAAGGAACAATCGCATTCGACTTCCTCCAATTCGGTTTCTCAGCCATTATTGAGAACTCAGATTCAAAGATTTACATGTGACAGAGAAAATATGCAGCAATACTGGATTCCTGAAGGATATCATCCTGTTCTGGTTCCTCGTCCTTGCTTACAATCTTGTATATCTGCTGCTAATAATGACAATATGACTACGTCTGCTTCGGTTGGTAATTCCCATACATTACCTAATAACTCTTCTAATGGTCCTTCAAGTCCTCTTCAAGTAAGGTCTGCCGCTGCTACTCCTAATGTAATAATTGGTAGTGATGGCACGATAAATTCTCAATCTATGATGAAAAGACGTCGTCTTGTAAAAAACCAGATCATTGTTCCTAGACTGTCCCCGAGGTCATTAAATGCTCAAGCATTATATTATTTTCAAAAACGTAGAGAATTAACAATGGGTGCTGTTCCTGATCATCCTTCAAAAACTATCGGTCAAATGTGGCAAGAAGAACCGGACTCTGTAAAAAGACATTATGAAAGACTTACTCTACGAATAAAAATTGAACAAGCTCTTTTAGCGAGAGCAAAGCAAAGACGACATCATCCATATAATATAGACCGAAATAACTACGTCACCTCTTTAACTGATTCATCACGTGTCGCTCGTCAATGCCCTTTGCAGCGTACTATGTTGAACAATTCATCATTTAATGTCAACGGTTCTTTAAATAGTACTAATGTTTCGTCAACAGAAAATATCTCTGATAATATGTGTAATGCTTTACCTTCCTCGCAAGGCTTTACGCAAAGTCACATGTTAAATTCGAATACCCTTCCGGTTTCTTCCTACCGAAATGTTCAAAATAAGAGTGCTGATAACATTGTAGGAAACGATAGTTCCTCGTCATCCGACACCGATGATTCGGACAGATTTTTTAGTGTATCTCACAACGATTTTATGAACGCTGACAATTCTTATGGGGAACAATTCGATTCACCGATATCCTCACAATCTTCCTCGCCAAAAGTTTCCGCAACCCAAACAAGCGATAACAATTATGATATCCCAGACACGGATTGGATGACGCGTTCCGACGACGATTACGATAATAGCGATGCCGAATACGATGAAGACGACAACGAAGGCTTCGACTATTAAACCGATTTCCGTATTATTGTATATTATTACAATAAGATGAAAACGCTCGTTCATCATCATCATCTTTTTTTTTTTTAAATTTTTTATTCTATGATTCAAAAAATCGCCAAAATTTATTTCCTTTATAACGCGTCAAAACGTCACACGTCACGTCAAAAAAACAACGAAACCATTACCTTTTTTTTTTTTAAATATTTTATATTTGAACGAACAAAAACACTTCGAATTTCTTCTATGCCAAAATTCGGAATCCTTATCAGGGGTTTCTTTCGAAAAACCTCACTCTATCGAGGGAATTAGAGGGCAAGATAATTTTATTTATTTTGTTCTTTTATTTTCTACTGCCACATTCCATACTCGTTACAATAGTGCCGTAAATGAAAAAAAAAACAAAAAACCTATCAACCTTTTTATTTTTAGAACATTTTTATTATTTTCATTTATCGATATATATATATATTATTTGCTTATATATACGTATATATATATATATAATTTTTCTTCTGTAAATTTTTTTTTTTATCTCTCTTTTTTTTTTCCGTAATAATATAGGTACATTTTTTTACCAAGTGTAAAAAGTGTATACTTGTACATAATATACAGCCTTACTCCATTTAAAGAAAAAAAAAAAAAAAAAAAAAGAAATCACTTAAATATAAAAAATTGCGATTTTTTTAGAACCCTATGGGAACTAAAAAAATTTGCAAAAAAAAAAAAAAAAAACTCTGCAATTTTAAAAAACAAGATTCTCCCTGTGGGAGGGGGGAAAAGAAAAAAATAAAAATATAAATATAAAACAAAAGAGAAGACGGGAGAGTAAATAATTTTTTTTTTTTTTTAAAAAAAAAAAAATAATATATATAAAAAATTAAAAACAAATAACGTTCTATATATGTGTGTATATATATATACTTTTCTTTTTTCTATCTATTGTAAATTATGTAAATTTTTCTTATTTTTCCTGTATACAGTTCTAGTTCTCTGAATTTTTTTCAAATTTTTTTCTCTGAATATTTTTTTTTTTTTTTCTAAAAACAAAAAAAAAATACAAAAAAACAAAAAATTAAATAAAAATTAAATAAATACTTTACTTTTTTCAAAAAAAAAAATTGAGTGACTTTATTTTCAAATGTTAATATAAGTGTAAATTTCTAGAGTGAACTATAATAGTTCTCTAGGTTTTTAACCGAGTAAAAAACTATATAGTTCTTTTTAAAATTGTCCTGACCAGGTGAAGAACTATATTGGTTCCATAGGTTTTAAAATTGTCCTGACCAGGTGAAGAACTATATTGGTTCCATAGGTTTTTAAAATTGTTTTAACTGGGTGAAGAACTTTATTATTTTAAAAATTATTTGGCTAAGTGAAAACTTTAATAATTCCTCAGGCTTTAAAAATTGGTTTGACTGAGTGAAGAACTTTATTAGGATAGTACCGTTAATTATTTCATCGATCTCATCAGTTGTTGGTTTATGGTATTTAGTTTTTGACTTTTTTTTTTTTTTTTTTGGTTCTCCTTTCATAGCGAATGACCCTAATAATCGTATAATATCAGATAATACTGTTACCATTACCGTAAAAGAGCGTATACAAGACACGGGTCTCTTACATTCCACCCAAAAAATTAATTAATAAAAAAAAGAAAATAATTAGGGTGGGTCTGATATATGGGGGGATCTTGTATACGCTCTTTTACGGTACTGAATGCTTCGCGCCAATAACTGACGTATCTGGCATGGAATTTGACCGTTCGATGTGGGACCTAGCTACTGTATCTCCCGATCAAATTCCACGCCAGATATTCACCGTTATTGGATGCTTCAATAACTATATATTATTAAACGATGTTGACATATTGTTTCTTGCATTTAAAAGGATTTTTTTTCAGTGTACTTAATATGTTAAGTATATTTATGTTGATAGCGCGAAGTTCTACTGAGTACGTAAGCAGTTTTAATGTAGCATAGGTTTTATAAATTCTAGTAAAATTTACAGATCATTTGGCCAGATTTAGAATTTTTTTGCTCGGCAAATTTTACCAGAATTATAAACTGATGGATTCCACTGATAAGTTTTATGGGGGTTTTTTTTTTAATTCAAATTTTTTTAACATCAGATATGATTTTTAAATACAAAAGTTTGTGTCACCCCAGGTGGTATTTGAGGTCTTTGCTAACAAAAGCACCCTTCGGGACTATGTGGAATATACGGACAAAATTTAATTTTTCCTGTCATCCAGGAATTCAATTTGAATAATTTTTTTTTTGTTTTTGTGAAGCTTAGTGAACTTTATAAAACAAAAAAAAATATTTATTCAAATTGAATTCCTGGATGACTGGAAAAATTAAATATTGTCCACAAATTCAACATAATCCCGAAGGATGCTTTTGTTAGCAAAGACTCCATTTGATTTTTTGCCACCCTTATTTGATCGGATACGCCTTATTTCACCGACACTCATTTCATAGACACAACATTTCACTGACAATCAATTCACCGACATGTTTGTTTCATAGACAACCAATTCCTAGACAAGCTCATTTCGTAGACAACTCAT